TTAGCCTGCAAAACTGGCTGCTGAAACCCTTGAGCATTGGTAACAGCTATCAGAAACTGCTTTTTGCCATGAAGAAAGCTGACCATGCCAGCTTTAATTTTGTTGTTATTACTTGATGAGAACAAGTAATTACTGATTCTTTCATGGCTTTTAAATTTCACATGGTGCTTCTTTGGCAATTCTTCCTTCCTTTTTTTCTTCTTTTCTCTTTTTTTTTTCGTTATATATTCTCTTGAAACCCTGGCTTTGGTCACTGTATTCAAAAATGAAGCTTCTTTTTCATTGCTGGAAAATATTAACAAAAGAATATGTATTCGTACTTGCTTTTACTGAAACTTCCTATATGTGTCCAGCCCAAATGGTGGAACACAGGGCAGTTTGTTTACTGTTTGAAATCTGAAGGAGAACAAGTTTAACTGAGGAAATACCTAGATGATGTTTATTTAAAAAAAAAAAAAAAGCCACACCCACAAAACAGCAAAGATATGAACTGGACACTTCACCTGTCTCTCTGCCACCAGACTTAAAACAGTTTGAACCTGAAATGTTTATTTTGGAGTTTATATAAACTGTAGCAAGTGTTAGCTCAATTAGCACTGACATTGCACAATTCTTCACAAACAAGTATGCTAATTGTAGAGTTAGTATTGTATCATCAAAGTCTGAAGGCTTAAATGTCAGTTAAAAATTGAGCCCTGTTAGTTCCAGAATTATTAAAATAGATTCCTTAATTTTATTTTTGTTGGCAATTAAGAGATGCTGCGTTCATTCCTTAAGACAGTTGTTAAATGTAGAATCTTATATAACTGCATACTCAAAACCACGGTGTGATCAATGACAGCTTTTAATGGCCATGGAATTAAATATGTGGCTACATCCACAAGTTACCATGGGGTAGAGTGCAGAGCACGTTACCTCCCGGTGCAGGGCCTGCTCATGTGCTCACTGTTACCCCACAGTAGGTGTAAGCTCAGCTTTGAGGAGAGAACTACATAGACAGCTCCTCTGAGGCCTCAGGAGCCAAAAAGGCAGCTCCTGCCAGAATCTGTAGCTTCAGAAAGGTGTAAATTGGAGATAGCCCTCAATGATTAAGACATGCAGTGGTGCCTGGGGGTTTTGTTTGGATGGTTGGATTTGGTGGGTTTTGTGGTTTCAGGGTTTTTGTTAGGTTTTTGGGGTTGAGATTTGGTTTCTGCCTTTTTTTTTTTTTTTTTTTGCTTCAACATGGTGCTGTACAGGTATGCACACTGGGATCCAAGTGTGGATTAAAGAATTATACCCAGTCTTGGGCCTTTCTGTGGCTCTGGCCCCTCTGTCCACCAATGAAAACCTAGGAGCAGAATATGCTTCTCCTCATGATTGACCTTAATAGTGTCTTATGTGCAGGCAAGGAAGGTCAATTAAGGAAAATACAGAATTATGAAGAACTCGGTTGATGTGATAGACAGGAGTAGAAGGACAGAAAAAATACTCATTTGCACAAGTACTGAAAATGAGAAAGAATGGCTCTTCAGTGGCAAGAGGAACTTAAATTACACTTCACAGGTAGATAGTTCTCCAGTGCAACAGCTCATGAAATGTGAAGCTGGGCAATGTACCAGCTTCTAGCGAATTAAGAAGTTGATAACATCAATAGTGGAGGAGAAAAAAAAACATTCTTCTGAGGTTGTGAACTTTTTGATCCATTCTGACTTATATGTCAACATCAATGGCAGCGCAACACTATTAAAACTGCCATTGGTTCTGCATGTTTTAAAAGATGCAGTGAGAAAAAATAAAAATAAAGAATAAAAATAAAGAGATTGCAAGATCCTAACAGAGTAGTAAGGTAGCTGATAAACAATGAGGAATTTATTTTTTTTTCTGAGTTTTCTTTCCTTGACTAAATGACACACAGAAATAAATAGTTCTAAACTGATCATATGCTTGTAAACAAATAATATAGTATAGTGTGAAATACAGTTTTATTAGCAAACCAGCAATAATTCAAGGGTTTTTTTCTAGGTTTCTCTTTTGTTTACTGATGTTTTGATCTCTTTCCTGCTAAGTTAAATGACTGGCTTCTTCTACTTTAACCATGTTGATTTTAGAGTTGTCTTTCCATACACACAGTCTTTAGTGGATGGACTTTGTATGGTTTCACAGTCTGGGAGGTATTGCAGCCTGGACTCCTGTTCATGCTTCTGCATGTCATCTCACTCCATACTGTAAGATATGGATTTTATTTCTTTATTCTGCTGGATAAAGCACTGACTGGATGGACAGGCCCAAAGAGTGGTGATCAGTGGAGTTAAATCCAGCTGGCAGCCAGTCACAAGTGGTGTTCCTCAGGGCTCAGTGTTGGGACCATTTCAGTTTAACATCTTTATTGATGATCCTGATATGGACATAGAGTTTGTCATCAGTAAGTTTGCAGATGACACCAAGTTAGGTGGGAGTGTTGATCCGCACAGAGGTAGGGAGGCCCTACAGAGAGACTTGGACAGATTAGATGGATGGGCCAATGTTAATGGGATGAGCTTCAGCAAGGCAAAGTGCCAGGTCCTGCACTTGGGCCACAACAACGCCATGCAGCGCTACAGGCTTGGGGAAGTGTGGCTGGAAAACTGCCTGGCAGAAAGGTATCTGGGGTTTCTAATCGACAGGCGGCTGAATATCAGCCAGCAGTGTGCCCAGGTGGCCAAGAAGGCCAACGGCATCCTGGCTTGTGTTAGAAATAGTGTGACCAGCAGGAGTAGGGAGGTGATTGTCCCTCTGTACTCAGCATTGGTGAGGCCCCACCTTGAGTGTTGTGTTCAGTTTTGCGCATCTCAATACAAGAGGGATCTCAAGGTGCTGGAGCTGAGTGCAGAACAGGGCAACGAAGCTGGTGAAGGGCCTGGAGAATAAATCTTATGAAGAGCGATAGAAGGAGCTGGGACTGTTTAGTTTGACAAAGAGGAGGCTGAGGGGGGATCTCATAATGCTCTACAACTACCTGAAAGGACATTGTAGAGAGGTTGGTGCTGGTCTCGTCTCACAGGTAATTAGCAATAGAACAAGAGGGAATGGCTTCAGACTGCAACAGGGTAGGGTTAGACTGACTTTAGGAAAAGTTTTTTCACAGAAAGAGTAGTCAGACACTGGAATAGGCTGCCCAGGGAGGTGGTTGAGTCACCATCCCTTGATGTGTTTAAAGGTCATTTATATGTCGTGTTGGGTGATATGGTTTAGGGGTGAGCTTTGTAGAGTAGGGTTAATGGTTGGACTCGATGATCCCAAGGGTCTTTTCCAACCTGAATGATTCTATGATTCCACTGAGCTTAGCTGAAAATAGCTTTGGTCACTGAAGAATTGTAACTATAAACTTGTTGATTATAAATATAATGTTTATTGAGTTGTTTCTTATATAGCTGTGTTTTCTTCTCCAAGGGTACAGTCTGTGTTTTAGACTTCTTATATTTAGTGTAAGAACACCTAGGGCCTACTTGAGCAAGTAAAACTTGCGTGTGCTTTCAGCTTTAGACACAGGTTAGTTCTGATCTTGAGGTCCTTTAAGCATGTCAGCACAGAATTGTGTCCAGGATAACTTATATTTCCCCCCTTATGGCAAGAATTAGTAACCTGGACATAATGTGCTACTGTAATTATGCATTTGTTGACTCAGGGTGGCACTTCAGGAGATGGTTTAGCATTAGCGTGGTGTAGGGCAGTAGGTTGGACTTGATGATCTTAAAGGTCCTTTCCAACTTTTATGATTCTATGATTCTGTCTTGGGGTAAAGCAACTTCTGTCTGTACCTGTTGGATTGTGGATGTTTCCCTTTAAGAAACTCAACTTCAATGACTTTTTTTTCCCCTTTCACATTTTATGTGGTGGAGAGACTGGATGTATTTGGTGCCTATAATATGACCCACCCTTAGATAAGGCTTGTATATTCCAAGTCCTTGTATCTATTTGTGATTTAAATGCAGTATTATATCAGCATGTCCTTTCCTGAATCTGTGATGTGAAATACTCTGTTATCTTCTTGATCCTGCTTTGTATAAGGTGTTATTAAACTACACTTGAATGTATGTTTTCTGGAATGTTTCCTTCAAAGCTCTGAAGATTTGTTCGATGAAATTGAGTGAATTTCAAGAAAGCATCATAAAAATGGGTTGTTATGAAAACATCATTCAAAAAAGTACTACTTCTGTTAAACTTTCTGTGCAAATATTTGGCTGGCACATCTAATTAAAAATGCTGCTTTGTGCACCCTCAGTCAGGCTTTTAAATTTCACAGCAACAATTTTTTTCCAATCCTAGTTCTATTTTGTGGGTAAAATTCAGTTATTCTCAGACATAATGTTTCTTCTCATATACCAGTGGTGACTACTGGTTGAAGTACACAGGAGCAATTTTTTTTTTATAACATCTGTTCCTTTAAACTGGTTAACATTTCTGTTCAAGTATGACTAGATTATTCTGGTTCCTGTTGACAAAACAATTACTGAAGATATCTGTAACTTAAAACCAGGGAAACTAAACTGAAATTCAAAACTGGTGTATGTAAGTTAGGCTGTAAGCCTGGCTTATGTTTCTTTTTCTCCATAGATCTGCCTTGCAAGACACCAATATTTCAAAAGCCCCTGCATTTGTGGGAAGCTACTTAATAACTCTTTGCACCTTACTTGGACAACTGTGGTGTTCAGATGACAGCTGGGGTTTGTCCTCTGGGTGATGTTCTAAGAAGACTTGTGCTGTCTTATTCTAAAAGTCTGGTTAGAATTATTTTGAGTCCATTTACTGAACTGTGACTTATGGCCTAATTTCTGTTAATAAAACACCACTCGACTTCAATTGTGTCTTTGGGTATTTCACATCTTTCCTAAAGCTGATTTATTGCAGTTGTGTTAAAACCTAGAATTATTTAAAAGCTGACAGCACTTGTGTCTCTTAAATCTCTGTTTTATGTCTCATAGTAAAGACCAAAAATAGCATTCTGTGTTTCTGGGGAATTTTCCTTTTTGTCTTTTCAGTGTATGCCGAGAATATTTTCAGAATGGTGGGAAAAGAAAAGCACTTGAGAAAGATGAAAAAAGAGCACTTCTTGCTTCTAAGACCACTCCAGCTTTAAACGTTCCCCAGGCTCCCAAGATTGAAGATCCCTTCCCAAACTTTGGCTTGACAAGTCATGAGGCTATAACAGAAGAGTAAGTTTTACTTGTTTTCCAGATTTTTTTTTCCCCCCTCTCTTTGTGTGGTAAGACTTATCTCTGGACCTTTTTTCCCCCATAACATGCTAGATTCTTTAATAGTTATGAAGTGACATTTTCATGTGAATACATACACGTTTCAAGAAATACTCCTTGCAGTATATTGCGGTGGATGCCATTAAAAAAATTGCTTGAGAATGACAACTTAGTCATCTTCATTTAAGTGCTAAAGCAGTTTCACTTTAGCCTGTCATTGGCGTGCAATGCAATTTATATTAAACCTTGAGGTGAAATAAGGGAGACGGTAATTAAGTTAGAATCTAATGGCTGTTCAGCACTGTTGAAAAGTCAATTGCTTATGTAAGTACTAAGTGCCAAATGTAAATATCAGAGTACTTAAAACTTTCTCTTCATAAATAATTGCAGAGAAACTCTTGATTCCAATTATACACTTCAAAAGCAATTTTGAATTATAACCCTTAATTTTACATGTGCTAGCTTTCTGGTGACTGGATCTCCAGAAATTGTAGTATCCTTGAGGTATTTTCCTAACAACAGATTTAATTTTGTTGTTGACCTTCACTCAACTAAGACTTCTATTTTTGGCATTCAGGAGTAGCTTTATTATTTCAATTACAGTCCCATCCTCCTTTTTTTCCTAAATAGTGTGGGTCATGTTTGTGGCTACTCTATATGTGATGGAAAGGATTTAATATTTTGCATGTGTAATGGAATAATGAATGCCTAAACATATTATCATTAAACATTACATTTATTGACTTGCTTCTGATTCTGTATAGACCAGTTCTTATAACTGTCTGCAATAGTGTTTTTTCTGTTCTGTGAAGAAACTTTTTCTCCCTTATTGTAGCATATCTTCTGGGATCAGCACTTACTTTAAGTTAGATACAGTATAGTTAGGAAAGGAATGAACACGTTACTAGTGTTACTAGCAGATGTGTCTGTCCTTTATAAACTGCTATTTTTTGTGGCCTCTCGTGTTTGTAAAGTAACTTGCAAAAGACATAAAGATCTCAAATGCCTATAGAGCTGAATAGTTACATGCAAAATTAAAACATTTTCCCGGTTGTCATATTATGACAAGACAAAACGGATGCTTGCAAAATGAAGGTAGTGGCTTCTGATAAGCCAACTTCCCCCTCAGACTCATCTTTTTAGTGCTTGTTTTGCTAAATTAGCCTCAGAATAAGTTCTTGGTTTTGTGTGAAAGGGCCTGGCAGTTCTCATTAAAGGGCTGATGACATACTAATATTTCATAACATCTCAATAATGCTGGTGTTTGTTAACATGCAAGTTTAGCACTGCTATAAGTAGCAGTTTGTTGGTACTTGTTTGTTAAAATCAATAGGTTTGATGATCTTATGATACTTAAAGTTGATTTCTCTTCCAGTGGGAGGCCTTGTCATGGTAAAGCATTAGCACTGTCTTTGCATGTGCTCTGTCTTCATACTTTGTACATTTTATAATGCCCATTGTGTAGCTAACTTCACAGCAGTTTCTTGTTACAAGTAGTCTGTAGCCTTACCTTTTTTTCTGACTAATGCAAATAGTAGGTAGTGAATAGAGCAGTTGTTCTTAAATAATTTTAAAAGCATTTGTTAATGCAGTGAGTGATGATTATCTTCATTCTCAAAACTTTAAAAATGCATACACCCATAAAGACATACCTGGCAACAGCGAGATTCATAGTATTTTCCCGAATAAGCAACAAAGGATAGTGAGGTTCTTAGTAGCTGTAGAGACCTTAAAGCAGCAAGGCATAGCTTTTCTCTGTTACTGCCCAGAGAAATCAAAATTCAATTTCTTCCTCTATGCCCTATAAAGGAATTTATTTATCAGAAGGCTAAATGGATTAGGTATTACACAAAGTACACTTTCCTCTTGAAATGTTTTTCTGCCTTGTCTACTCTGATCCATTAGTGAAGTCTGAATCCTAGTAAGGTCTTGATACAAGGTGTGTGACGGGGAACCTACACACACTTACTCAGATACTGTCACTCCATTCTGGTCATATAATGCCACAAATAAGTTGTGGGGTTTGTCTATAGGTATGGCTAAGCCTTTGACTTTTTGTGTTACCTTGGGAAGCATGGAGACAATAATTTTGTTCTTCCCATATATAATCCTCTCCCAAGTAGTAGTAAAACCAGCTTACTTGTGTAGAATCTTTTTCTGAGCCTACCTTTACTGGCAAGCTATTGTAGGGAGACTATACTTCCCTAGGTAGGCTGGAAAGCTAGCTCAGGAATAAAAAGTTCTATAGGTAGTAAAAAAGATGCTGGGAAACACGGAGAGAAGTCGAAAGCACTCAGCCAGCTCTTAAAGGTGGTAGTAGGAAGCACTGTAGGAACGAAATGTGCCAAGTTTACTTGGAACTTTACTCAGAAAGTCACTTGGCTACTTTGAACTTGCTTCCAGTTGATCATGTTGCTCACTACTTTGCCAGATTAAAAGCGGTGAGTCTCACAGAAAGAATGAATGTGAACACTCCTTTTTTTTTACTTTGATCTATATGAAAAGTAATGTGTTGTGCACAGCACTTCCTTCTATCCCACAAGAGGAGGAGATTTTGTGGTTCTAACAACTGCACCTGTTGTGAAGCTGGACATGAAAGTGGCTGAGCCTTGAAAGATAAAAGTGGCTGTTATCTGCTGTTTTATGGCTCCTCCCTTCAATACATCGGTCCGCTCTTTGTTCTCTTTTTGAGTATTGTGTCTCTTTTTTCATCAAATAAGCAGTCTTACTTTCTGTTCTTAATGATAAAAATCACAAGCTTTTTTTGGTATGGATTCTTCTCTGGTGTTGGTTTCACTATCTCTTAAGGTATATCCTATCATTCCTTTCATGTGTATCTCAGCAAGCTAGACCTTCCCACTGGATATCTTTATGCATGGTGGATGTTACCAAAGATTTGAAGCATAATGGTTGTTGTCACTCAGAACCTGATATATAACTTGTTCTCCTCTTCTGACAGCAGCATAAGGCTTCTGAATTTTTTTCCCTTCTATCCTTGATAAATGAGTAATTTAAAACTGTAAACTAGGAGATCAGCACTGGAAGTGATTAATTTTAGAGATAGTACTTTATGGTCATATAACTGCTCATATTCTATTTACTTCCAGGAGAAAGTGTCACTTACCTGTACAGCACTTAGTTGAGTAATAGCTGCATTCAGTAAAGTTCTTGAAATAAAGAAGTATGGGATATATTTAAAATGCACTGGTCTCCCAGGTTATGTACACTTCTTTACCAGTTCCTGATCTTTAACTCCTCAGATTTTGTTTTTATAGCTGTACACTAACACACTGGGGAACTATGGATTCAAGATGTGCTTGGAGATTACCTACAGTGGCCAAGTACTTCTCTTGTTTTTAATGTTGCTTTGACTGAAAATTTATTGATAATCACCCTTCAACCCTCTATTTACTAACAATGAAAATTTTTATATGTAGCCCTGTAAATGATTCAATAGAAAAAGTTCAAACTGTTGGGTGCTAGTGGGGCTGTATATTTCAGGTTGGGTTTTTTTGACATGTAGATGCACACATCAGTCTTTGATTGCAGATGCACAAACAAGTTGTGTTTTGAAGTGGACCTGAACGAATTGTTTAACTCCAGCATTTCATAGAATCATAGAATGGCCTAGGCTGGAAGGGATCTTAGAGATCATTTAATCCAATCTCCCTGTCATGGGCAGGGACACCTCTCAGCTAGATCAGGCAACACATGGGGACCAAATGGGGATCGAACCCGCGGCCTTTGCAGTTGCAAAGACGGAATAAACAACAAGGGCCTCCAAATTCACAATGTAAGGAAACTTAAAAAAAAATAAAGAACAGTGTCTTTGATTGTAGGATGCATTCAACAGCTGAGTCCTTGATATTAGTGGTAACTGAGTGCAACATTCAAATTCTAATTCTTTTAAGAGGGACAGTGTATCAGGTTAGACAAACTAAATGCCAAAACCTTTAAATATTGACGAGACGGCTGACTGTTAGTACTTCTGTACAGGTGTATTGATCTTATCTGATGCTACATTACATATGCTGGTAACTGCCTTAGTCATAAAGAAAATGTGTGCGGTTGCAAACTTGAAGACCGTGAATGTTCCTTTAGGTGTTGGTTAAGGGGACTGTGCTTCGGAAGATAAGAATGCTTTCAGAGGCAAGCCAGCTGTCACTATCCTGAAAATTTGCAAGCATATTTTTTCTTCTCTTTTTTTAAGCTATATATTTAACTTGAAGAAAAGAGCAACGATGTCTTTAACTTCATAAAGGCATTTTGGATTGTTTTTGCAGTTGATGTCGGGGCTTCCCAAGAAAAGGCAAATCTCACCTGCCAGCCTCTAGCCTATCTTCTGCTGTGCTATAGTGGGAGCTGCCAGCAGACAGTACAGAAATGTCTTCTCCTTGTTTCTTTAGTCTACTGTTTTCTTTCTCCCTCTCCTCCAGTTTTTTCTTACTCCAGGAAATTTTGGAACCTGGTTGAGATGATGATGGACCAGTTATTCAGTGTGTGAGGTTTTTTCCGTTTTCCATGAGTTCTGGGACTAAAGTATTGTTACAACTGGCAGCTGAAGTTGCTAAGCCACTAGCTGTCATATACAAGAAGTTGTGGCAATTCACTGAAGTTCCTGTTAACTGGAGAAGGGGAAACATAACCCTCATTTCTAAAAAGGGAAAAAGGAAGATTTGCAGAACTACAGGCCAGTTAGTCTCACCACTTTGCCCAACAAGATCATAGAGTGAATCCTCCTGGGAACTGTGATAGGGCACATTGAAAATAAGGAGGTGATGTGCCACAGCCAACAGGGATTCACTATGGGCAGATCATGCCTTACAAATTCGGTGGCTGCCTACGATGGGATTTACAGTGTTGTGTTGGAGGATAAGGGAAAAGCAAGTGACGTCATCTTCTTGGACTTACGCAAAGCATTTGACAGTGTCCCATACAACATCCTCGTCTCTGAATTAGAGACATATGGATTTGACAGATGGACCACTCGGTGGATAAGGAATTGGCTGGATGGTTACACTCGAGTTGTGGTGACAGCCTGATGTCCAGTTGGAAACCAGTGACAAATGGCGTTCATCAGGGGTCAGTATTGTGACTGGTGCTGTTTAACATTTATGTTGTTGGCACAGGCAGTGGGATCAAATGCACCCTCAGCAAGCTGTGTGGTGCAGTCAGTATGCTGGAGGGAAGGGATGCCATCCAGAGGGACCTTGACAGGCTTCAGAAGTGGGCCAGTGCAAGCCTGGTGAAGTTGAACAAGGCCAGGTGCAAGGTCCTGCACATGGGTCGATGCAATCCCAACCACACATACAGGCTGGGTGATGAGTGCATTGAGAGCAGCCCTGCAGAAAAGGACTCGGGGATGTTGGTGGATGAAACACTGAACATGAGCCAGCAATGTGCGTTTGCAGCCCAGAAAGCTAGCCACATCCTGGGCTGAATCAAGAGAAGTGTGGCCAGCGGGCAGAGGGAGGTAATTGTGCCCCTCTGCTCTGCTCTCATGAGACTATCTGCAGTACTTTGTTCAGCTCTGAGGCCCCCAGCGTAAGAAAGACATGGACCTGTTGAAGTGAGTCCAGAGGAAGGCCGCAAAAATGATCAGCTGGCTGAAGCACCTCCCCTGTGAGGACAGAGAGACAGAGAGAGTTGTTGGTGTTCAGCCTGGGGAAGAGAAGGCTCCAGGGAGACCTTACAGCGGCCTTCCAGTACATGAGGGGGGCTACAGGAAAGAGTAGGAGGGACTCTTTATCAGACAGGGAGTGCAGTGATAGGACAAGAGGTAAGAGTTTTAAATGCAAAGAGGGTAGATTTAGGCTAGATATTAGGAAGAAATTCTTTACGGTGAGGGTGGTGACAAACTGGATGAGATTGCCCAGACAAGTTCTGGAAGTCTCTTCCCTGGAAGTGTTCAAGGCCAGGCTGGATGGGGCTTTGAGCAGCCTGGTTTGTGGAAGGTTGGGACACCTATCTGTGGTGGCAGATTTGGAACTAGATGATTGTTAAGGTCCCTTCCAACCCAAACCATTCTGTGATGCTATTAAGGTGTCCTCAGCAGTCTATCAACCTCTTTCTGTAAGTCCAACCAGTAAATTATGATTTCTTAAGTTAATCCTACCCCACTGGTTTGGGTTTTTTTCAATCATTATTCTTTTTGTTGTTTGGTAGCATAGTTAAGTATACTAGTATTTAGTGTTACAGCCACTGACCTTCTTACCTGTAATTTCTCCTTAAATAGGAAGTTCATCACACAGTGTCATATAAGGAGACAGATTTTTGGCTTAGTAGAATGTTCTCCAGAATATTTATGGGATAAATACTCATTTTTGAATACTTCAGAAGTATTGTGTTTAGGATTCTTTTTCCTAAACTGGATGGCTACTTTTGACTATTTCTCATTAAAAAGTTTTTGGATATTCCAAAAGAAAATTGATTCCATGGAATGGAATATAAATTTTTCCCCCCTGAGTAGTTTTGAGAGTATACTTCACTTCTTTTAGATGTTTCTAAAAACTTCTCTGTAACTTGATCAGCCAGTTTTTAAGTTTGTGACTCTGCATGGACTCTTTCACAGCATCCATTGAAAATACAATTGGAGCGAAACTTAAAAAAATATTAGCTAACATAAAAAAATATTTATTTTCAGCTAATGTTTAAATGCTTTAGTTGTTAGATTTATTTTTTGTTTACCGTGGAAGACTGTTACGTGTTCTCTTGATAATAAACCAATTATGGCACTTGACTAGATGCCCTTTAAAATGGGACTTACAAGTAGGTTGGTCATAAGAGTTGCCAGTTTCTCTTTTTAAACCCCTGAAATTTTAACTCAGATTTATGTGACTTCAACACCACAAATAAATACCACAAAAGGTAAGTGGGAAACACAAAGTCTGTCTAGTGGGCACAGAAGTTGCCAGTTTAGTGTCTTTCTGCAAATACTCAAGGGAATAGTATTACAGCTGCTCTGAACATAACTCTTCCACTTTAGGACCATCTACTTTACCAATGGAGCTTGGTTCTTTAGGTATCTCAGCAATGCAGATTACTTTTGTAATGTGGTGTTCTATGAGAATTTTCTTGCATTAGTTATCTGAAGTTGCAATTCAGAATATAGATTCAAAAATAACATTTGATAAAACTGAATTTTTGCTGCTTCTTAGATTGCTCCACTCCTTGGGGAAGATCAGATTACTTGATGTTGGTAGCTGCTTTAATCCATTTCTGAAGTTTGAAGAATTTCTGACAGTTGGCATAGATATTGTCCCAGCTGTTGAGGTACGTAATACTTGCTGAATTGCATATAAATTTCATTCTCGGTTATGTTAGAATCCTTCATAATGACTTTAAAAAAATGTATGTTTAATACTGAAATATATATCCAAATATCTGTACTTCAGTAGGAACTGTGGCCCTCCTACTACATCCTTTCCTGTGAACAGGCTCTAACTGAAGTTTAAAAATGTTTTAAAAATATGTTGCCTTTTTGGTTTTTCCCAGGAGTTGTGTCTTTGTAATGCAGTTGTGAATCTGAAAATTGGAAAATTTCAGTAGCTGTCTTTTAATGGCATTTCAGATGACTCCTTGCATCTTTAAAGGCATAAATAAAAATTGAGTAAGCTTATGCTTAGAATTGAACCTCTCAGGAGTTTAATTCCCTGACAGAAGGAAATGATCGTGACTGTACTTGTGTGGGGTTTTCTGGGGAGTTTCAATAACCAGAAGTGCGCTAGAAGGGGAGGGGGCTTTTCTGTTTTCTGCTTTTCTGAAATATTATTATATTTCTGCAATCCTGAGGACAAAATTATCAGTACTTTTGGGGTAAACTGCTTAATTTTCTCTAGGTAGTAATGCATTAATTCTACTACAATAAATTCTGTCTTTTGCACTTGACTCAACTTCTGTCAGTCCTAATAGCATTTATCAACCCAGCAAAAAAACAAGTGAAATGAAAATGAGAAGATACAGAAAGGAATACATTTCTGACAGAAAAGGGAAAAAACTTTGACCATATATGTCTTGACCATTTATTTAAAATCAGACTCTAAAATCAGTGTCCTAAGGTAACCCTCTTGAAATGGAGAGGTAAGAAGTGTGCAAGTACAATTATATAGTTAACCTGAAAGTAATGTTCTTATTTGCGGCAGTGTAGTTTACGTGCTGAGTGCATGCTATTTTCAGCCTGGGACAGAGAAGACTTCAGGGAGACCATATAGTGGCCTTCCAGTACCTGAAGGGGGCCTACAGGAAAGCTGGGGAGGGACTATTGACAAAGACATGTAGTGACAGGACGAGGGGCAATGGTTTTAAACTGGAGCAGGGCAGATTTAGACTAGATATCAGGAAGAAGTTCTTCACTATGAGAATGGTGAAGTACTGGCACAGGTTGCCCAGAGAGGTGGTGGAGGCTCCATCCCTGAAGATGTTCAAGGTCAGGCTTGATGGGGCTCTGAGCAACCTGATCTAGTTAAAGGTGTCCCTGCTCACTGCAGGGAGTTGGACTAGATGACCTTTAAAGGTCTCTTCCAGCCCAACACATTCCATGATTCTATGATTTTGTTGCGGTTACCAGGTTTGGTCCACTAGCAGTTAATTTTTGCATATACACTTAGAGATAATTAAAGATACTCTGATAAATTGCCTTTCAAAGCAATTCAGTGTTAGTTTCATCGAACACAAAGAAACTCTGAATGGTTTCATCTTGCCTAATTTGAAGAATAGGCATCAATTGACCAAACATGATTGCCTTCCACCCCTTAAGGTGTAGAACACCTGCATAGGGCTGTTGGGCATGACAGTGGGCAGTTGGTGGAGATCTGTTGACCCAAATGTTCACTGTTTTCCTGGTGAGCTGCATTGTGTTCTGACCTTGTGAGCTGTACTGACTAGCTCTCCAGGGACTATAATGGGAGCCTAGGTACCTGAAGTTACATGAGCTGAATTCTTGGGTATGCATAGTTAATATTTTGCTATCTACTTTTCATAAGAAAATTACTTTTGTTCTCATGAAAATCTATTTAAATGCACAGTGACCAAAACCATTATGGGAAGAGTCCCAGGAAGGTTACTTCTGTGGATGTAATGGAAGAATGCGAGTAATCCAGGCCAGGAAATAGGTGAGGGAGTAGTCGAGTAGCTGCAACTTTTCTGTACTAGCCAGTTTTTAAGTACAAGGGAATGATAAGATAATTGATTTCTCATTATCTTATGTAGTACCATAGCTTGATGATAGGAACTCCCTGGAGTGCTACTGTACAGACCAACGTAGTTACTGTGAGGCCTGTCTCAGGCTCACCAGCTTCTCTTACTGCCAATCTCATGGATACTTCGGTGCATTCAGGGCACCTTGAAACCTACCTAGCAAGTGCGCTTGGAGTGCAGTTTGTGCATCAAATGCATCTGCCAGAAAATAAGCTTCGGCCCACCTCCAAAAAGAAATGAATAAGCCGTGACGTATTCCAGATGATTCTGCTTTGATCTGCAGCAGCATCAGAGCCTCCTGAATGAATTTGTCTTTGGGCCAGCTGTTGCCTGCGTTGATTTAAGATTTCACTGTAACAACCAGAGGGTTCTTACGGTAGTTAATGTCATCTTCTGACCTGAAAAGTTGATCTGATAACTTCGTGGTAGAAGCTGAAAATAGGAGAACTAGTAAAATCTTGTGCTTAGCAGATCTTTTAGATAAGATACCAAAATACTTTTGGAAGCACATTCAAGCATAGAAGCTTCTTAAGAAGTCAGTTTCTTGAATAATGTTGAATAGAGAGTTAAATAATTCCTTATTTAATAAAAAACAGATTAATCCACTCTCTGCACATAGAAATGCTTTGGATATAGACTAAGTAGTTGAGTAAAATACTTCAGCTAATTTGAGGAATCAGAGGGATGTAATTGTGAAAAACTAGGAGAGGAACTGAGATGTTAGTTATATAATAAAAGAATAAATGTCTTCAAATTGTTTAGAATCTCTGTTGCATATAGAGAGACTATAAACTGCAGAGATATGAATATGGAAATGTGTTTTCATGAAAAGGTCTTCTGATTTGAGGTGAGGGGGAACTACGTCAGGGAAAGATTAGTGTTCTCTTTAGGTAGGCATTGTTTGCTCATTCTCAGTGTCTTGGTGTAAACTACACGGAGGGAAACATGCAGTGTTAGAAACCAGGAGGAGGGAAACTAAGAGTGGGAGAAGCAGAACAGGTTTCTTCTTGACCTAGAGTTTTTGTTGGCTATTCCTTAAAATGTTCTGCTCGTAACACAGATATTCCAGAGTAAAATTAGCAGTTCTTATTTTCTTAGAGGGGTTTTAATTTATCTACACAAAAAAAACAAACAAAACCACACACAAAAAACACCACCACACAGAAAAGACAGCAAAATTGGAATGGAGAATCTCAGTCTCCACTTTGGGAAAATCCAAATATATTGCTGTGAAACGTGCTGAATGTGTAGCAGGTGTATTAGAGTAAATATAGTCTGAAAAAAAATTTAAAAATGAGACTGGAAGGGTATTGGAATTAAAAATTAGAATATACAAGTAGGATTGTGCTCTTAAATGTTACCTGGTGCAGTGAAATATGACTGTTTCAGTGTCTAGGAGGACTTCAGTCAGTTCAAGACTTGTATATATATTTAGCAATAGCCAGTTTAGCAGCATTTTTGTCAAAAAACTGTGCACAGTTCAAGTTCCACTTGATGCATACTTTCATCCTGAAATTGCCTGTTATTTCTGCGTAACTGTTTTGTGAGTATTTTTCCACTACTCAGAAGTATTTACAGTTGAACTCTTTTTTTCAAGTATATATGCATAACTTCTGACTCTTTAAGTCTTGCTTTTAAGTGAAGTTAGCATTTTATTCTGAACAATTATTCTTCACAGCACTTCTTTCTTTTTAAAACTTACTAGAGGATATAATGAAATCACTACTGTTAATGTCCTGTTCTAAGTGTTACAAGGAAGCAGAATATAGCCCTGAAAGTATAATAGTTGCAATTAATATTTTTTTTTTTAGCCACATAATGCAAGACTCTTTCATGATACATTTTTTTTTTTTTTTTTGGCACATTGGAAACCAAGATTAAAACTACCAAAAAATAAATCATAGATTTTTTTTTCAACCTTGATTACTTTTTATAATTTGCTTCATACTCTTGGAAGAGAGTGTCATTCTATATATACAGAAATAACATTTTCTTCTATTTGGAAACAGTCGTGCTTATCAGTTGCTTTCTGAACACCTTTACAATAGTGTTCTAGTGATCTTTTTTGAATAATGGTTGATCAAACATGCTATAAATATTTTCATGTTATAAAATTGCAGCGGATCTAACTCCACCTTTCAAATGGGCTCCAGAGAATGTTTTGTCTGCTCTCATGTTCACTAACCTGTTCAGAGTGTCTGTCCTTCACTGCACACTCTCTAGGCATTAATAACAATTTTTGACAAAACATTGCCTTAATACCTTTTTTATGAAAGAAGTCACTCCCAGGTTTTGATGAATATGAAGTGTCAAGACTTAAATGCAGTGATGAATAGCATACTATTATTTTTTTTGAATGCTCTCTGATTAAGATTGTTAAGAACTTATTCTTCCGTATGTTGTGGTGTCATTTCCCGTCTTTGACAGCTTGACCACACAAAGGATAAAGAGATGGATTTATAGCTCTTACCTTATTTTTGGAACTGCCCAAACATGCACCGCTATACTTTGCATTTACAGCATTGTTAAAACACAGACCTGAACCGCCGCTGCAAAGCAGTGTACCAAAACTTTTTCTAATGTGTGTTGCCTTGCCACAGATTCTTTCTGCACCAGTAAAGAATGATGCCTTTTTTTTTTCTGAACTGACTAAACTACTACATTTCTTGGATTCCTTTCAAAGAACTGGAAGAGAGACAGATATCAAATTTAGCTTCTAATTACAAACTTCAGGTTTATAGAAACCTATAAAAGGCTTCCAGGATCTGGAGAAACAAAAGCAACATGGCCATATTTAAGTTCTTAAATCATTTGTGAGATAGAACAAATTATCAGATTAACTATTTGGGATAATTTTATGGGGTTTTTTTTGTTTTTTGTTTAAATTAACATGTTTCAGCTGTCAAATCTCTAGTAAATTTACTGCACATATGCAGTTTTGCTTTGCAACTCTGAAAGCTAGCAATATGTATTAAATTGTTATTTTAGATTGTTTAATAGCTAAAGGGATGTTGAACAGGCTTGACATTTCCTGAAGGGAACAGAGAGGCTGTAATTGATTTTTCTGTGGATTTGAATTGTATTTGCTCTTTAACCTTGATGTTTGTTTGGTTTTCTGTCTTTCTCATTCCACCAGAGCGTATACAAATGTGACTTCTTAAATCTTCAAATTCAGCAACCTCTCCAACTGGCACAAGATGCTATAGATGCCTTTCTTAAGCAACTGAAAAATCCCATTGATTCTCTACCTGGAGAACTGTTCCATGTTGTAGTTTTCTCGCTCCTCCTTTCTTACTTCCCATCACCCTATCAACGATGGATATGCTGCAAGAAGGCGCACGAACTTCTCGTATTAAATGGCTTACTGCTGGTAATAACTCCCGATTCCTCTCATCAGAATCGTCGGGCTATGATGATGAAAAGCTGGAAAATTGCCATAGAGTCCTTGGGGTTTAAACGCTTCAAGTATTCCAAGTTTTCTCATATGCACCTGATGGCATTTAGGAAAACTTCCCTGCAAACAACAAGTGACTTAGTTAGCAGGAACTACCCAGGAATGTTGTATATCCCACAGGATTTCAACAGTATAGAGGATGAGGAGTATTCCAACACTTCCTGCTATGTTCGATCCGATACAGAAGACGAACAGCTCGCTTATGGTTTTATGGAGCTGCCTGATGCTCCTTATGACTCGGACTCTGGAGAAAGCCAGTCTAGTTCAATCCCTTTCTATGAGCTAGAAGACCCTATATTGCTTCTAAGCTAATGTAGTCGTTGAAATGCCCTTTCAGTCAAACCTCTCGCTTAACTAATTTTGCTATACTAACATGGGCTCAACATGCAAAAACGGTTTGCATAAAGAAAATGCAAAGGTTTACAGAGTTTGCTATTTTTTTCTACTTTGGAATTTTAAAATTTATTCTTGTATGAAAGTGAAAAAATACAAGTTTTATGCGGATGACTCATGTCATAGCATAAATTCCTGTTACTTTCTTTAGATTTGTATCACTAATTTCTTTTTTTTTTTCCAGAAAGGTACCATTCTTTTCTTTAGTGCTGTGAAGTGTGGATTCTATTTAATTTGCTAAATGTTGTTTCAATATTTTAACTCGATGTGGTGAGCTTAAGGCACTGGAGTTGATGGGCTTCTGAGAAGTATACGTAGGAAAAAATAATTTGCACTTTAATTAAATGTGCAGATAGGTTAAGACACATGTCCCTTCTTAATTATGGAACAAACGTTTTGGTTTTTTCCAAAATTTGTTTCATTCTGGTTAAGCCTGGGCTGGAGAAACTACAATGCGTGCACATTTGATTTTGTTTATTGCAGCCCTCTTGAGATAATGCCAAATGGAGATGATACCAAAACACTGGGATACATTAATCCATAGTTTACGTACTGTGTAATTTCATTGCATAAATAGCGGCTAGAGATGAGATTTCTGAAGAGGTTATCACCCCCCTGAGAAGTATGGTACGTCTAGACAATTTTGTTTCACTTCAAAGCTGGAACACAGTTCTGCAATTTTATGAGTGTACAAGCACTAACATATGTCAGTATTTCCCCAATGATGGTGTTCTGTGTTCTCTTCAAACTGTGTTTTTTGGGGGACGAGGTGGGTTTTGTTGTGTTTTAAAGTAAATTATTTATGCATTTTAAAAAAAAAAACAACTTTAATTGTCTTTATTTGTAGACCTCCCAAGTTATATGGTAACTACAGACTGATTTTGTAATAAGGAACATAATTATACAAGTTTTTCAAGGATATGCATATGTGCACAAAGCCATGTATTCAGACCACACAAGTGGAGTTAATGTACAATATTTGTTTGCTTATTTAGACCCCAAAATTTTCTGTTTAGTTGAATAAAAACTCCATAGCTGTCTGAAGACTGCTCTGCACTGTAAGAAGATGGAACAGAAGTGGTTTATGTCTATTGGTTTTTGTTGTTTGCTCGGGTTTTTTTAACTTGTGTAATAAATATGTGAGATTTTGCAGGAAAAACAATTCTGTTCAATGGTAAAAACAGAGGCATTGGTATTAGTTTAGCTTTGACTTCCCTCCATTTAAAAATAACACCCCGAAGTTTCAGATTTCAATGTTAGGCTGTTAAATCTCTATCTAAGTGCCTAATAATAAATGATTTGAACTAGGTGCCACATCATGGTTTTAAGACCAACTTCAGCAACATGGTAGAAAGTACTAATACACAGTTTCACAGGAGGGTGTGATGAAATATACCTTACACCAGAGTATTTATAATACTGAAGTTACCAGGTAAACTGAAGTTACAATGTGGATTTTACAGTGGTGGTTACAAAAATGAAGCTTACCCCTTCCATTCAAGTTTTGCACTGAACATGTCACTGTTTGACCTACTTGTTGTTTTTTTTCAATACTGCTACCTGCATAGAGTCATTCCACATGGGTCCAACTTACACTCAAACATGACCTTGACTGCAATGCTTTATTCTTTACCATAAGTATTTTCTGTCATTTTTCTGAAATTTGCAGTACCTCCTAATACCTTATTCAAATTTCTTATTCCATCTGAATGATATATACAAACCAAACAGTTATATGATGTGGGTGGAAAAAAAAATAAATTTAGATGTACAAGTATCATAGTTGACTTTGAAGTTAATTTTTTTTTTTAGAGAATAGTTTCAAAATTGGCTCTGTCAGTATTTGCATTTCACTAAAATGTTTATCATTCAAAGCCTTTCTTCTTCCCAGTTAACCACTGACTCCAGCAGTGCTCATGTTAACGGTAAAATTCTGATGCTATAAATTCATCTGTTCATGGAAGCCTAATCTGTGCCTACTTCAAAGTGTACCTAAAATTTTAAATTATACTTTTAAAAAAAAAAAAGACAAGGCTATATAGCAGCTAACATGTTGCTATCGGTTAATGTACATTGGTTTGTGATTCATACAGAAAAGCAATTCAGACCAAGATTTATCTCCCACAAATAGTTTAAGATTTACAACTTAAGCCTTTTTGGCAAGTTAACACCATTATATTTGTGGTATAGAGACCTGGGACCTGAGAATTGTCATGACTCGGTTTTCTTGCTGTCTTTTTTTTTTTTCTTTCTTTTTTTTTTTAATAAGTGGTGGAGCAGGAAGGTGGGATTTACGTAAATACTTATACCTCCTTGAACAATAAAGTAATATTGGGAGTTGGATATTTGGATTTGGTGCAAGAAGAATGTTTCTAGTTTATCAAATATTTGAAAAGTATGTGCAAGAGATCGCTCATTCTTAAGGTGCTGGAGAGGAAAAGGAAAAAATGTGTATTTGCATTTCTGTTGTCTTTATGTCACTACTTTTTGTGAACAAAGCACATTTATTAAAAAAAGTGAAAAACTTTTAAAAAATTGTTTCTTTTTTTCTTCCTGTCTAATCTGTTTATGCTGAAATCCAGTGAAACACAGTTATTTTCCTTACTGTCAAGAGAATAGTTGTGTTTATTTTATAAATGACTGTGTTACAGTTGTTAAATCTGGCACTTCAGTTTCAACTTCTGATTCTCAATTGTGCCCTTTACTCTACGGAAGTGCTTTTGGAGTTCCTGCAGTTGATCTGTATCATCTTTTTTGCCCACCAGCTTAGATTGAGACCACTTTCTAATGCAGTTCCTCTCTTCTCTCTCTAGATGTTAAGTTCTGTATCTCCTTGAAATATCTTTGAAGCACACATTCTATGTTGGCCCTTTGAGGTCAGTGCTGTATTTTTCAGCGTGGTGACTGGGTCCTGGAGGTGTTGCAAAAGGATGGCAATGAGAAAAGAAATGCGAAAAATTCTCCTACTCAGATTCAGAGTCTAAAATAATTCAGATTTTGGCAGAACTGGAGTGTGTCCTTAGCAGTGCAGAGTCTAGCTAATATATTCTGTTCTCCTTCTTGACAATCAAGATCAGAAAATCTGGTTTTACAGCTGTTCTCAGTATTGTTTCCTGCAGAATCTTTCTGTCTTTTTCTGCTTCAAGGAGACTTGCTGACTTACTTTAAAAGTGTGATCCTTCTAGGTCTTTTTAATCATATCTCCATCAATCAGCAGCAAGTTTTCTGCTCCTTTATTCTAGTTTCCTCAGTTTTCCTCAAGGCATTGCTTTGTACCTGTAGAATAGCAGGAAGATTTTTTTAAAGGGTTGCATTTCACAAACTTGCACAGAAAGTTTATTTTTTAAGTAAAATATTCTCGAAGTTCAGCAAATAGTTGCCTCAATAGTCTATCTAAATCACAGTTGGGCAGATACAGTACCAACTAAGCGTTATCCATGATGCTAGTAAGGCACCTGAAACAGGTGACGTTTACTAAGGAACTGAGATTTCTACTATTCTGCTTCTTAAGGGAAAATCTCTCAGGTTTTGTTTTGAGTTTTTTTAAGATGTGTAACTTTTAAGTTTGTTGGATAGTTTTAAATAAAATTTGAGGAGGGGTGAGGATTTTGGAGACGAAATGAGGTTCTTGCAAAACGTTTCTGAATAGTTGTAGGAGAGACACTGTCTCAAGTTTAGATGTTTGAGTATCCAGCTGTTAATGGTCAGCTTATTGACTAGGGGGTCAGATATTGGAATGCACGGCTCAGGGAAGTGGTAGAGTCACCGTCCCTGGAGGTGTTTAAGGAAAGGATGGATGTGGCACTGAGTGCTGTGGTCTAGCCATTGCGATGCTGTTGAGTCATAGGCTGGACTTGATGATCTCAGAGGTCTTTTCCAGCCTCAACAATTCTGTGATTCTGTGACGGGCCTGGTTGTGACACGGGGATTACAGGAACGAAGACATAAATCTGTGCAGCAGCTGGCTAAACTGCCTCCAAACTCCAGCCACCCTCATGATGCCTGTCTAAGCAATGAAACTATCAAGATCCGGAAACTTCCCGCTCTTGGCCACCTGCCTACAAGGGCCAATTTGAAAAATGTGCTTCCAAGCCAAAGTGTCATGAAACACAGATGGTGAAGGAAGCGTGACTTTTGTGCGATGTGAAGGTGGTGAAAGCTTTGGTCTAAGAAGCTGAGTCCTGTCCCTGAGAAGGCTCCTGCTCGTCCATGGCAGGAAAGGCCACGGAAGGTCTGGCCTGTCTCCCAGTCCTAGTTCGAATATGGCTTTTCTTCCCCTGTGTCCCAAGCGCCCCAGATAACAGCGTTCATAGGTTTGGTGTGGGTTTTTTTGTTGTTTTTCTGGAGTTTTTTCCATGCTTCCAACCTATTAACCTTGCATTTTTATTATTTTTTGTTTGCTTGTGGAGGGGAGAACGCGTTTTCAGTCTTGCCTATCTTTGAGATGCTGCTGCGTTCCCTGAGAATCAGACCTGCGGGCCGCCCACGGAAACGCCGTTCGCACCCC